TGAACCGTTGACCACAACTCTTTGCGTGCAGGCATCCAGCCAGTTCTTCATCCACTTTATAGAAGTCTTCTCTTTATAAGACTTCCAACCACTAAGAGTGACTACATCACCCTACAAGTAACTACAAGTTGATACGGTCATGCCTGAGCTGAGCAAGAGAACAGACTTGAAAAATTTCAGAGATGAGACAAAGTAGGAAAACCCTGCATTCTCCAAAATGTCTAGATGACAACTGGTTCTTAATTGTACTTCACAAAAAACTGTGAGCTCTGCAAACCTTCCCTGCTAGGCTCTAATGGAGGTAAATAATTTACCCTGAAAAAAAAAAAAAAGATCAACTGGAGGCAAGTTGCTTAGATCTTTAGATAGAAAACATCAGTAAAAAACTGCACCGAGAAAAGGACATTGCTGCACCTCCACAAAGGTGACAAAAGTTCAGTTCTCCTGTACTGTGCAATCTCTGCGAATGCACGCTGTCAGTATGCCGATGATAACTACCATTCCTACTGGTTGATTTTGAAATGGCAAACTTTGCCACAGCAGAAAACCTGTAGAAAGCAGAGAGTGGCACTAGCGGAAGCTGTCTGATGTGATCACGTTCAAACTACTTTGGTCAAAGATAGTTCCACAGTTTTACTTACTACTGTAATTTTTTAAAATTATCATCTCTTGACATTTGACTTTTCCCACACAAAACCTGTATCTAATGTTTGTTCAGAATATGGCCTTCTCTTCAAGAAAATACATGAACAGCTTCTGAAAACAGCATAATTTGAAGCTGTGTGGCCTTGTTTCTCTCCACGAAGGCTAAAAAGCAAACTTGCTTTTAAAAATTAAGTTATCCAAAGAAATGTGTAGCACTACAGAAATATTACCATAAACGCCTAAAAGCTGAGCACTGTTGAATTCTATCAAACTAATAATTTTGAGAAAAAGGACTGCAACAGCTTCATTTCTCAACCCTGGCTGCAATTAGGTGGCTCTGAGAAGCACTTGCCCTGCCCTCCATCCACTTTGAGGATCTGTGCAGAACGGGGAAAAAAGAGCAACTGTCATCACATAAGAAACTCAGGAATCAGAAGTTCTCAAAAGAATAATACTCTAAATATTCAAAAATAGCTTACCAAAATGAAGTAGATTCTGACATTTTGAGGTATCTGAAAGTTACACTGCTACCTGCTCCTGACAAAAGTCTGGAGTATTTAGAAATCATGCTCTTGAAGACTGTCAGCATTTTACAATTCTCACTGTCAGTTGGGTATGGCATTTTAAATAGAAATTGTATGAGGAGACATTTTTTAATTTTCATTGACTGGGGAGGGGGAAGGACGAAAGACAGACATGCATAGAGAACAGGGGCCCTGCGCTTCCCTCCACCTCCATCAAGAAAGAGAAGAAGTATCAGAGATTGGATCATTAAAAAGGATACCAAAAAAAAAAACATTAAAAAAATCTGCTTCTTTATAATTTGTCAGTTCATGCTGTATAAATTATACTGCCCTTCACCTACATTTCTCAAATTTGTTCTAAAACAGAATTGGTATTCTAGAATAGTATTTCTCTTGTATAACCGCCAGCTACTCATGCTAAAATCTTATACAAGAAAATGTACGGCACAGGTATGTTTACAGTTCCTACCTATTGAAATTCCACTAGAAAGGGTAGAGCTTTCTGCCTGCCCTCGGGATGGGACATGAGGCTCCATGACGCTGTCATCCAGTAGGTGCCTTGGTCCTGCATTGGGGAATGTTGCGCTTTTAAATTCAGTTGTATTCATTTTGTGTATGAAACTAGAAATGAAGAAGGATAAAATTGTTATGTTATCTTTGATACATTTCACAAGGTATTGCTTTAACATTATGAAGGGTTGCATGCAGTGTGTTCCAAATACCAATCTAAATCATCACTCCAGTCATAGACAAATGTGCATGAATTATGTTATCTATAGGGATTGCTAGGCTTAAAATTTCACAGCACTCATGGAGCAAAGAGAAAGTCAGGAGTACTTTAAAAGTTACTTTCAACATCCCAAGATATTTTCGTCCTTGTGTAACACATACATAATTGAAATTCCGAATTGCATTCTAGCTCATCAAGGTACCAATTAGAAATACACCTATATAGAAAAAAACCCTGAAGCCATTGCTGTACAAAGTTATATGTAATCTACAACAAAGGTCTCACCTTAAAAATACTGATAAAGCAATTATTTCAGTTTGAATTTGAAAGAATTATATTGCCATTGAGTTGCTGTAAGTGACAGTTTTGGCAATCATAAAGAGCCTATTCTGGCTAACTCATTGACTATTCTTACCATCATAACAAGCTGTGCAGTCTTATTTTGACTATTTCTCTTTGGCTGGGATACTACCATTACAGTTCTGAGCTTGCTATCTTGCCACAAATTGTTCTTTAAGCAAAGTACTGTGTACAAAGCATGCTACTTTTAAAAGTGCTGCTTTTGTATTGACATGCTACATCACAAAACTTAGGGGTTTCAGGTTAAATGAAATGCTGACTTGTATCCCAAACTGTGACATTTCCTATGTCCATGTGGTATCAGGTTCCTGGGCGAAGGGGGTGTTGGTGGTAGCAAGGCTCCTTCAGCTGCAACATTTTTCCGTCTACTCTGTGGAGACGCTCCAACTTCAGAGCCTGAGAACAAAAGAAGACGTTACTCCCAAGTAACTTTAGAATTACTGTCAGGATTACTTCTCAGAACATTGTGGAAGAGAAAAAACTTCCTAAGCTCAATTGGTAAGAGATAGCCTGTAATAAAACTTACTGATACATTGATAATTAAAAGCCCTGTACTTCATGTGTTTTGCACAGGATTAAAAATAAAAACGCTTATTTCAAATAGACCATCTAGTTACAAGTATTTTTTAAGTCCTAAAGGTTGTTGCATTAGCTATGTTGACATTAAACAGGTCCCACTGATTCTATGTTTTGAATCTCCTGCCTTCAACCACTTTCAGTATTGATAAAAAATAATGTACATTTTGGAAGCATTTTATACCATGGGAAGTTTAGATGAAGGCCCCTCTGTCTAGATACAACGAAGAATGAGTATTTAATAGGTTTCACCCCAAATGACACCAACAAGTTAGTGCCATAATATATACAAGAACCTAAAAAATTGACTCAGTTCCTTGAAAGAATTTCTTGACAGATCACCTTTAGGCATTTTATTACAAATACATAGTGTTTATACGTCACACTTCTTTATTAGCCTCAGGCAAATATTTTCCACGTTCGCAACTCAAATAATGCATTTGACAACCTGAAGTCTTCTCACATTTATTAAGCATTTACCTACTAAATCTTCTCTGGAAGCAGCAGAGTGTGGGGTGCTGGTCCCTGGTTCTATCTTTAATGAAAGTCTGCATTAAAGAAGCATTAAAAATTACTTTATCAGGAAACAAAAGCAAATAAAAGTAAGTTTTTGAAAAATTAGGCTTTTTAATTTACAATTGAAAGCTGCCTGCCTGTAATTGCAAGAAACATTATAAAGTTAATACAAACTTTGCATGGCTATCTTTAGCACACACGATTTCCAAATACTCCTTTTTTTGGTAGAAAAAACCCACCAAATAGTAACTGCAACAGGGCCCAGGATTAAAAAATAACCAAACCAGACAGACATGCACAGGCATAATGTAGTAAATGTGTCTATTACTTTGGTTCATATAGACCAGGACAGGCTTGCAGTATCATGCTGAAGAAGGATTGGACTCAAGAGCAAAACCTTGGCTACAGCACAGCCCCTGCAACCTTTTCTGCATCAAGGATTCCGACACAGCTGGCACAGCCAGTACAAGCAGCCAAACAGCCACCAGTTGCCATCTTCGCCCTCTTATGAACAAAAGCTCAATGCAAGCTGTTAAATAGGTGTGGCAAAATCACACTGTGGGAGGAGCAGGGGAAGAGGCCATTGCACTGAGTTAGCGCCAGCCTCCAGGGATAACAGCCACACCTACATGGCCCTGGAACCTCTAACAGACACATGAAAATCAGCGATTATACCACTACTCTAGCATAAGAACTGGGAAGAATAAAAAGTGTACAACTGCTCCCCCCACCTGACTAAAATATTTATACTTAATAGAAAAAATTTAAATATGAAGTGTAGGAAGTGCTCTAGAGTGCTGGAACAAGCTTTTCGTCTTTACTGGTCTAAAAGCCAAAATCCTTGTTTTGCATTTTGGAAAAATCTATTATCAACTTGACTGCATCCATAATTCAAGCTTTTTCTTAAACAGGCACTTTTAATGCCATTTCCAACAGCACCACAAAGAGGACAGAGTCCAGGAGCAGAGAACTCCTGGAAGATAAGCACATCTTGTTCACACAGTTCACACAAGCAGAATCTTTGAAATCAGTGAGCTGGGAAAAGCATCTACTTAACTTTGGGGAGAAAAAGTTTGAAGTCTGACAGCTCCTCTCCCTCCCAAAAATCAGGATACAGAACATTTCAGCAAAAAGGTAAAGCTGGATTCTTGCATAGGCACATGCAGAGAAAAATTTACAAATCTTAGAAGGGAAGCTAAGAGTCTGAGCCCTTGTTAACTGTTCTTTGACAGAAACTAAAAGGTCACCATTTGCTGCCTTTTTGTAAATTCAAGTTAGGGCTATTAAATGCTAAAGTGTATCTGCTCCTCTAGAGTGCAGAACCCTCCCACCATTTGAATGTAGCTACACAAGCAACCAATTCAACACAACTGAGGTGACAAACTTCCTGGGCAGGCAGGATGGGAATGGGTGGGGAACCTCTTCAAGCAGATCAGCCAATGAACAAGAACTTTCTTCATATGCAACAGATTTGCTTTAGGTTTTTTCCTACCCTCAGGGCTTGTTCCTGTCTCTTGCCAGAGATTTACATCCCCCAGTTTTGCTGGATGCCAAATCAGTTAATGCAGTAATAATCTGCTAATTAAGGTAGTAGAAACCTCTCTTTTGGGTGGTATGCTGGAAGGAATGGGGTGGGGACACAGATGGACGATAACTCACCTCTCAAAAATCAAGTGCTTGCATTTTACTAACACTGTATAATCTAATCAAGGAGAAAAATATAAAATTAAAGCAAAATAAAAAAATCAAGAATAAAAAAATGAAAGTGAAAGCCTTAAGTCACCCTCAGTAACAACTTGGGACTGGACACACAGATGACTTTATTCTGATGAGAAATGACACAAGCTATCTCCAATCATGGGATCCATCTTACTGACTGGAAAGTGTTACATGTGAGCTGGAAGTATGCAGTCTTCATTAGTGCACACTGAAAGAGATCTGCAGATCAAATCCACAGAGCAAACAGACCTGAAAGCCAGGGCTTGGTGCAGTCAGGCATAGAAAAGGAAGGAGATATGCCATCCAGCATGCTGAAAATTGTCTTGAGCACAGGACCCTGCTGTAACCTCACTACTTGCAACTGGTGCATCTGAGATATGCAATCCCCTGGTACAAGCGCAATGTTAAAAACGACAGGCTTTGTGTTACAAAAGATATTCTATGATAAGCTACAGTCAGTTACAGCATTTCATACTTACTTGTAATTGTCATCTTCTACAAACTTTTGTAGCTCTTCTATATATTGAACTGAGTTCAGGTATTTTTGAACATGAGGCAACAGAGGAATATCTGGGGAATGTACGACATTAATTATCACTGTACCATTCACTGGTAAGCACAGTTATTTTCCAGAAACTATTTAAACAGAATCACATCTCTTGCCTTCTTATGTGAGATGGAGATATGAGCTACAGTACCCACTGATGTTGCAATTTTTGTCTTTCACAGCAATTCTCATGCATTGAGCTGACATCCATACAGCCAGTTATGTATCTCCCTTAAGCTGCTCCACTTATGACAGCACATGTCAGGGAAAAGTGAGAGCGTGCCCCTGGCCGAACTAAAGGCCCAAACCTGGAAACTGAAGGGTTGTATCTGAGGACTCTTTCACAGTCCACATTATCATTATATTGAGCTTTTAGTGAATCCACAGTCCTGTGCTAATTCATATTCCACCATCACAAATACACTCTTACTAAAAAAGGATTGTGAGGAGACCACCTTTGAAGGAAAAATACATTATCTGATCTATGAACAGAACTATAAATGTCAAAAGACAAGATGAACATATTTTATTATCTCCAGTAAAAGTACTACTCCAAAAGCAATCCTACTATTTTCAGAATTCACAGTCATAGTATCGTGAAACACAGGGATACAAGTTAGTAACATACTTGTAAAACTATGGTTAAGAACAACATATTCCACATTTTCATCAGAAAATATATACTGCAACAATGTGTGTGATGTAAGAGAAGGGTAATTTTATTCTGTCCCCTCACACTGATGCTCTGTCATAACCAGCAATACCAGAATAAACTTAGACTTTTGGGCTGAGAGGGTGAGGAAGAGTATTAATGGCACTCAAATGGGTTGGGCCTTACTTACATTGCATTACAGAAACCAAACATTAAAGCTTTTAAAGTTGTTCTCTTTAATACTGCAATATTTACACACTCACCATATTCACACGACTGCTGTAAGTCTGAGATAATTCGAAGAATGTTGTTCATTAAATTTGTTCTCTGTTCACTTTCCAAAATGCTCCCTGTCGATGGGTAGGCAGAGTCAATGTATGTTAAGTCTGACAGGTAAATACCTGAATAAGACAAGAATGAAAAGCTTTAGTGTCTCACATTTAGCAGAAAAAAGCCTCACCAACAATATTTTGAAGAACTGTTGCTTTCACTGACGAATGCTCATGCAGGTTGACAACAGCACTGCTTCAGAACAGCGTTCTTTATTTATCTGGAAAATCATTTTGAGAAGATCTCCGAGAGCCTTCAGACCTCAAACAGTAACAATGCTTGGACCTCCAGGAAAGTGCATCACCATGCCACCCATGTCTGGGATTGAATTTGCATTCTCCTCAGTCACTTAATCCTTAGTTTTTTCAACCTTATCTGAGCTGTATTTGCAAATACCGAGGGTGTAAGTACAGCTAGGTTTCTGTATGCAAGCTTTCATTCTCTGTATGACTAATCACAGTGGGAGGCAGAAAGGATTCTTTCTTCCTGCATCACACTAGGCATGTGCTAGCTGACTTTGTCTGTAACAGTGTCATTATTTGTAAATCTAAAATTAGAAGGCCATGATCAACTATTCGTGAAGCAGATCTTCTGCCATATAACCATTTAATTATTCCCTTTACAAATATAAAGCATACTAAACACAACGTTAAAATACATGATCAAAATTACTAATGATTTTAGGAACTCTACTACTTCATTCCTCCAATTCAGCAATTAATAACAGGAGGAAAATTCATATTACCTAAAATCCTTCAAGCTCAATAGAAACTCAAACTCAACTTGTAGCAATACGCAAGAAGTTAACTAGGCAAAAAGAGCACTCATTGAAATGCGGTACAAATCCCGCAGCTCTAAAGATGCCATAGCCTTATAGGTAAGTCTCTTCAAGTCTTCTACATGCTTTCTTCCCTACCACCATTGTAACCTTACTACTGTTTCAATCCCTTGATCATGTAGAAAGGAAACTCCTCCTCCTTACATACTAATGCAGTAGTTAAACTAGTTATTTCAAATCCAAACGCAACTCCATTTCTTGAAATTCACCCAAAGACCAATTATTTTTGTCTCAGCTAAATGAAACATACCCTGACCAACTCTGTTATTCAAAGGAATTGCTCTTCATCCTCTGCATCTTCCACAAGACATCCAAATAAAAAGAAATATGCAAACTTAAATAACATTTTTAAGAAACTTACTTCAGTAACAGAGAATTTCTAAAATTATATTCTGCTTCACCTCTCAGCCTTGTATAACCAAAATCATAACAAGAAGTTTAGCTTTACAGGTGGAAGACTATTAATACAACCTCACAAGAACTGCAGTTGTGTTTGTATAGCACCTAAGCAGTACAGTTCCCAAATGTGAGTTGGGAAACTCTGGGCATCACTCCAAAATCAACACATACACACGCGTGTGCACACACACAGAAACAAATTAAAATACTTGTGGTTGAAAGGTGACATACAAAAAAGTGAATAAAAAGGTATTACACATGACCTGATATACAACTACATTTCTCATTTCTTCTGTTCTGCTAGAATAAGTTTATTAAAAAATAGAAAAAATAGTCAGAAACATCATATAGTCATATTTGATTGCTATGCTACCTAGAATGCATAAGCTGTCCCAAACCTAATTCTCATGTCCAAACAGACCTTAAAAAACCCAAATCTACTCAAATCTTCCATAGGAAGTAAATCATGCTTACTAATTTTAATTAAGGAAATCTACTGTGAGGAGGCAGCTGCAATATTATGCAGGATTTTATAAACCAATGTATTTGTAGGATAATCTTTCTCAATAACTTGCTCAATTAAGCACTGATTTTTGTTCTGTTAGCTACATTAAGTACTCTCCTGTAGAGAGCTGTTGCCTAAATTTATTTGATACATTTCTGTGAAGTCCAAAGTAATTTTGAAAGCATATTAGGATAATTCTCTTCCAAATGTGATTTTCACATCCTTTGAAAAGAAATCAAAAATATCAGTGAACGCAAACAAAACACGCTTAAGTGCTGGCTGACTATTGACAGAACCCAGCATTCCTCACAGAGCCTAATCTCTGTGGCTTTTGCTACTTTTAACACCAGTCAGATGTTATCAAATATTCTGATACCTACCCAAAATCATCACACACAGTTTTAACATTTTCCATATGTACAGAGACTTCATGCATTTAACAACTGGAACTGTTTCTTATTAAGTGAACATCAAGAATTGAATGCGACATTCTGTTGAACATTCTTCTAGACTATAAATGGTTCATTTTTCCTGTTGTATCCAGCCAGGCTGCCCCTTTTATTCCCAGCAACACAAATAGAGTTTTATCAGCCTGAAAGAATCTTTCTTCTAAATGAAGCCCAGTACTGTAATAACTTGAAAGGCATCTTTAGGCAGTGTAGTAAAAATGTTTGATTTGTAATTGCCAGCTGAACTCTTGCACAGTCTGTTGCCATATGGTACCCTCCCTTCTACTGGCAAACAATCTTTCCTTGTTCCTAACTTCTCAGCCTCCCTACCCCCTCCTCTTCTGGAGGGTATGGATAGGAAATCCGAAGGAGGAGTTTCTTCTGCTCTCAGTGTGTTCGTGGTGACATCATATGTGGGCTGAACGTCTAAGTTGAGTGTGTGTTTGTTTAAAAAAAACACTGTCCAGGAGTGATGTATATGGAATCTGGGTCAGCTGTAGCTGGTTAGTGCACTTCTGCATGTGAGAGTAAAATACTGCAGTTTCAAAAAACCCTTCTCTCTCTCTCGTCTGGAATAACACATACTGGAACATTACTTTTTCCTTTTTTTTTTTTTTTTAATTATTAGTTAGCTTGGTTACTGTATGGAGAAACTCAATTCCTCAGTACAGCCTGGATCTAACAGAGGAAGACAAAAGCAGTTTTCAACTCCAACTGCAGATTAACAATCCACAGCATCGGGTAATATAGGAAGAAAAAGCAACTTGGCCTCTGGGTTTTCCATCTACCACAGAAGCAAAACAGCTGGAAGCCTTTTTTTCTTGGTAAGTTTTAAAGTTATTCTTACTTGCAAGTTTAATTTTGAGCTGTCTGTGAATTCTACATACATCTCCCTCAACATGCAACTGTGTGAAGAAACAAATCTTTCTCAGCCTGAGAGAAGTCTGACAACTAAAATATAAACCTCACTTTTGTGGCATTTGGTAGCCTTTGGAAACTTGGAAAGAATTAAAAAGGACTCTGCATAAGAGCAGAGACTAATCATTCCAGTTTTAAGAAAGAACAAACTGCAGTTGTTTAGCTGTAAAAAACTCCCATAGATTTTGATACCTAATATTACAGAAAATTAGTACTACCCTATTCTTTGCTAAGCATGTAATTTGGGTATTGTGAACGTATTAATGTGAAATTCTAATCCTACCAGAAAGCAAAAGCCAAAAATCCTATTGATTTCAGGGAAGCTGGATTTCACCCAACACCAGAGCATAGACCTAGCATTACTAGAACTAGAAAATGGATACCTCAGTAAAGCCACTGTAAGAAGTCTCAAGTAAATCAATGCACATCTGTAAGTAGCAAGCATTGCATATCATTTCCACTAAATTTTTATTTATGGTACTTCTGAGCAGTAGAAGTAGTCAGAGTTGTACAACCAATCAAGAAAGCAGTCATATGTTGATTCAGAATATAATCAAACTTGTAACAGAAACAATCATGCAGCTGAAAATCCAGAAACATTGCTGCAGCAGGCACAGGCACTAATCCCTTCCTTTAACATTTTGTCGAACCATGGTGAAGTTAATTATACCTCAGTTGAACGGCAATTTGTTTCTAAATAAAGATTCACTTCTTAAACATGAAATTCAACATAAAAGGCAACACTATATTAAGTGGGAAATAGAGGGTTTTGTTACAGTTCTTGTTACAGAGGGTAAGGGGAGAAAAGGTAAAGGATGCCGTTGCACATCAAAGATTAAAACAAAAATATTGTTTACAAACAGAAGACAAAAGTACAGACAAAAACCCCTGAGAACTGCTAATACTTAATCTTCTATTTTTTGCCTTTCTTCATGCTGACTTGGAAATTAAAATATGGTAAATAATCCGGAACAATGGAAAAGAATTTAAGTTACAGATTTGTATTAACAAACTCTCAGAAATGTCTGACACATCAAGCGAGAATGAAGGGGTGGTACTAAAAGAAGAGAAAAAGTGTTACAGAAAGCAAATTTAACTAAGATTTAGTAGCTATGTCTGAAACAGTCTTGACAAACAAGAAAGAGGTATCCTTTCCAAGTTCTTGAGCCCTTTTTCTTACTATCTTTTTCTGCTTCTTTACATATCAAAGAGATCAATCTAAACAACAACAACAACAAAAAAAAAAATCCCATTTGAAGCCTACATAGTATGCCTTGGACACCAGTCTCCATTCATGATTAGCCAAGGTTTTGATTTATGCTGCTCAGAACAATTCCCAAATCTTTGACAAATGAAAACAGCTGAGTAAATAATTTTAAAGCAATAAACTGGCTGCATGCAAAGTTTTAACTCTCTCTCCTTTCCTGTCTTGTAACTTTAGTTTGAATTTTGAAACACTTATCTTAAAACAAGTAACACAATACTAATATTATGCTGTTGCCGTAAGAATGACCTAAAGTATGATGTAAAAATATGCCATTTTTTATGCCAAGTTTTACAGGAATTTACTTCAAAGAATGGAAATTCTGAACCTTTAAACTTTTGCCAGTAACTACATTGTTTTATCAGGTCTTAATTATTGTTTTAGTGGGCTTCATTTGTTTTTTCATAACATGCCCTATTAGTCTGGTCTGTAAAATTTATACACCAATGAATTAAGTAAAAATTTCCTGTAACAAACACTGCTAGATGCTTAATGTCCCCAGTATGATTTACAAAGAATCCTGAAGCCCCTAAATAACATTTCTGGATACAAAAATGCAACACTCTACTGTACCTGCCTGTTAAAATGGTGCAAACACATACAATAGCTGCACACAAATGTAAAGGAACCCTTACATAAAAAAAGACCTTCACCAAAAAACTGGGAATGTTAAGGTTTTTTTCTATGTTTTCAGAATATCTAGTATGGCAAGATTCACAAATCTCTTTTACAGAGAATTTCTAAGCATATATCATTTTAAAATGTGACATTTTTAATAACTACTTCAAAAGCCCCTGAAGATGTTTAGCTTGCCTTTCCTAGAAGGAATCAGATTCTGTAAATCTCAGAGAAGCAAAATTCTGTGACTCAATACATCATGTATCTAACAAAAACCAAGAACATATTATTCCTGGATCCCAGTCAATACAATAGAAAGTAACCCTGTTATTTCAGCAGAGGTAGAGTGACTTGCTGGAAAAACACTTGTTTATATAGGGAAAAGTAACTTACTGAAGTACATGGTGTATCAAAAATCCATGTGAACGTTTCTCCTACAATAAGGAGAATGTACTTCTTGAACTCCTAATGTTAAGGACTCAGTTACTTCTATTAAGAACCCAGTTTTAAGCTGAGTCCACAAAAATCTCCACTTATTCTAAGTAGAGTTTAGGAAACATAGACGGTTCTATTGATTTTAGCTGCTTAGACATTTAAAAGAAAATGAAGTATGCCCAACATCAGTAACAGAGCTTTCAGATTAATTGGTACCATGTTCAGAGGATCTTCCTCAATATTTATCTACTTTCTTTTTCTGTTTGCTTCTCCTCCTGCTTTACATGTTCATAAATGCAGGTTTATAAAGGAGGGCACTGTTGGTATTTATCGTTTGACCATATTCTTTTAATAAATGTTCTGAATAATGAGACAATAATATATACAAAGATATGCTTTCCATACAAAGGGAATCTTATACTCACATTTACTTGCAGCACTTCCATTACATTCAGTTATAACAACTTATACTGCCCTGTCTTTGTCAGTTCTGGAAGACCAGATTCTAATTTGTTTTGTGAGTCTCCAAATTCTACATTTTGCTGAATGCCAAGAGTCCAGCAGTACAATAAAGAACAAATAGTTTGCTGTGTAGAAAGTAAAAACCTGCCAAATATATACTAGCTTCCACACTCTCTCATCCCTGCAACCCAAATAAATAAGGGATACAATATGTTTGGGGGTAACACAGCCCATGTTATAGCAGTTTTTGGTGAAAGATAAGATTAGTAGTTACTAGTCTATTTCGCTATTTAAAATTGGAATTTTGTTCCTTTAAACACTTTTAAAAGTAATAAAGACTGATTATGGAAACAAGGCTGGTCATTTTCCCCTCCTTTTTTGTTTGTTTGTTATGGGGTTTGTTGGGTTGTTGGTTTATTTTTGTGTGTTTTCATAGGGATCAGTCTGGAAGAAGAAAGAAATCAGAAGAAAAGGAATGGTATTAAAATATAAAATGTAAAATGGTATTGAAGCCATGTCTACAGCTCTAAGTATTTCTGACAAGATGCTGAAGTTTGCGTAGCTATGACTAGTTGCACATTTCCTCCTGCACAAGCAATAAAAGATCAGCATGCCAGAACAGACATAACGCAACTTCTACAGAAATCTGAGACCTAAAACTGGGTAACAGAAACACAACCGAACCAAGTCTATTCTAATTTTAAAACCATGACAGTTCATAAAGAGTTAAATAATGTATTTTAAAGCCATAGTATCTATAACCACAATCTCCCTTGCTTATTTTCCCAGGACTGCACTCAGGTATTTCAGTGGCCCCACTCACTACAAGCAACTCCAGATTTGCAGGAAGGGCTTGAGACTGTGGTTCTGTCTAAACTTATCCTTGAGTCTCAACCACTTTAACTTGTTATAGTTATGACGCTACCTAAACACATAAACCTGGCCATATGTGACATAATGCATTGGATTAAAACACCTTATACTATTCCCCAACTCTAATATTTCTCACTTTTAGGTCTTACATATTAGGCTACCATTCTGTAATGTTTTGGATAAACAGTTTGTATTTTTTTAAGCTGCTTGCCCAGAACATCAGGAAATTTTTTGAACAGTATTTTCATTTCCTTCTAAGCTGATTAAAACTCCAGGTAAATATCTTCCTCAGAACCTATTCTTGTACAACAAGTTAGGCAGTAAGCTGCTCAAACACACCAAACAGCACCATAAGATGTTTCATTTTTTTAACATCAAAATTTCCATGAAAGCATACATGTTCCCTTACCAGAAGGCCTCAGAAGGCCCTTACCTACGGCCTCAGAAGGAACCCATCCCTGCTTATCTGAATGTCTCAGTTTCAGACATTTAAATTATTTCAAATTTCTAGGGCATAATCTTATGCCACTGTTGCATTTGGTCATGCTATGTTAAACCTTTTCAGTAATTTTATGGTCTGACAGCACACATATAGACACAAAACTCCCAATTTTAAGACAAAAGTGTAAAAGTTCAAAATGAACACACAAAATATTAAAAGAAATACACAAAGCAGACTGCAGCAGAATACATGACCAGAAAGTGGGCAGCATTGCAAAATGTTTCATTTAGTTTTAATGTATTTATATATAAGTATAATT